GAAGACAAAGATGTGGGAGAGTCAACAGCATGGGACAGGAAGGACAGAAGCCTGGAAATCTGAGTTCAGATTCTTAAAAAGTAAAAATCTGTAATGCTTTCTGACATGCATAATGTGATGATAGGATAGCAGGAGGAACTGGAAACTCTTGAAGGCAAACTGTGTTGACAATAATGAGCAAAAATAGACCTCTGGTGGACGGGAATCCCAAAGGATACTCTTCTATTGGAGAACTGAGAACCGAGGAGGGGGTGTGTGTGTGACGGGGCAGTAGTTCAAAGCGGGAGCAGAGGAGGGCACATGAACAAAGAAGAAACTTATCAGGAAATCCTAACATGTATCTATTTTAATGATCTCTCTTGCTAAAGAGGATTGCATTTTTTTAAAGCATATTCCTTTCATTCCTGCCCCTTGGTTGTGGGGTCATTTGAAACAAGCATGAGGTGTCATGTAGAATGGAACCAGATAACCAAAGCTCCGTTTTCATGCTACCCTGAAATATGGCTTCAGAGAAGAAACATTCCTTTAAAACACATTTTGCCTGCGTTTCCCCTTTAATGAGCTAAGGGCAGCATCTATTTTGAAATGTAAAACAAAGTAAACTAACGCAGAGTACCTTAGTGCAGGCTGCTCTTGCATCCTAATCTCCCTTTGATATCCTAAGTGCAGTCCTCTAGCTCTGAGTAGATTGCCATCAGGACAGAAATTGCTGTTGGTGCTGAAGGTTTTTTAATTACTTGAATACTCCAGTGTTTTCTATTGTTCATCTGCATGATATACACTTGATGACTTTAGGTGGTAAATCCTTGAGAGTCTTTTCTGTGAATAAAGTTACATGCTTTGGAATAGGGTTGTCCAATCTTTTGGCTTTCCTGGGCCACACTGGAAGAAGAATTGTCTTGGGCCACACATAAAATACATTAACACTGGCCAGGCACGGTGGCTCACGCCTGTAATCCCAGCACTTTGGAAGACCAAGGAGGGTGGATCACGAGGTCAGGAGATCAAGACCATCCTGGCCAACATGGTAAAACCCCATCTCTACTAAAATACAAAAAGTTAGCTGGGCATGTTGGCGCACACCTGTAGTCCCAGCTACTCAGGAGTCTGAGGCAGGGGAATTGCTCGAACCTGGGAGGCAGAGGGGGCAATGAGCCGAGATTGTGCCACTGCACTCCAGCCTGGCAACAAAGCAAGACTCATCTCAAACAAACAAACAAACAAACAAAAACATTAACACTAACGATAGTTGATGAGCTTTAAAAAAATCACGAAAAAAATCTCATAACGTTTTAAGAAAGTTTACAAATTTGTGTTGGGCCACATGTGGCCCACAGGCCGCAGGTCGTACGAGCTTGCTTTAGAATAATAAAGCAGGGAATCATCAGTAAGAGTCATACATTTTCTCCTGTTTTATAAAGGTAGCTGAAAGGCAAACAGGAGAAGAAAGCAAAAACAAAGGCCTAACTGTGGTGTGAGGGCTCTTTTTAAAGTTATATATTAATTTGAATGTATTGAATGAATATTGATTTGCCTACATTCTTCAGTGGTATTCCTGTCATTGGCATTTTATCTGTTGCACTCCAACAGGTAAAATGAAGCAGTTGGATAAAATTTCTAGACTATTTTCCAAACTATAATGCAGAATATGACCAAGGGATTTCTTTTCCTTCAGAGATGTGAATATTTTCCTGTATTAGAGTCCTAAAAGCTCCTAAGAGTCTCTTAAGTTCATAGATCATCTTTGGATAATAACCTTGACTTCTGCCCACCTCCTGGTTATTTCTGCCTTCTGACTTCCTTTAATCGTCAATGCATCCTGAAGCCAACTTGCCAAGTTACTTAAGCCCAATGCTTCATGAAGGCATAAGAGGCTGATTGTACTCAAGTTTTCCATGAATGCTTAACTGTTGCTGTAGTCCCCCTGGATGCCGTGGCTCATAGAAACATATTGGTGTCGAGACCTGTACTTCCTTCTGACGTAGAAACCGTCGTTGTTTCAGGGTGATTTATAAAAGGCACAGGAACCTCTTTCTCAGTGACTTAGTAAAGTATGATGTTAAAGTAACTTTTTGGGAGTTTTAGACTTCTGGAAATTACATCCTCTGTGGTGCATCTCGTTTATCAGTCTTGTCTTATAACAAGTATTTATAAATAGACACAAAAATGATTATAAGAAAGAATAATGAACTGTAAAATATGTGAATTGTATTAATTTATATCTATCAAATAGGGTTTACTTATCATTACCTCCAGTAACATTCATTTTAAAATATTATATAAACCCTATTTTTCCATTATAAAAGCAGTAAATGTTTCACTTAAAAAAACATTGTAGAAGGGTATAGAGTAAGATGTAGAAATTCTTCATATTTTAGCTTTCAGTACCACTCTCCAAAAGCAATCGTGTTAAGTTTCTTTGCATAAATTTTCTGAGCATATACAATTTTACGTATATTTCTACGTACTCATTTTTTACACAAATAGTCATGCTATGCTTACTTGTCTACTTCTTGCTTTGTTTTTTCACTGAAAATACCTGGCCTCTGTCATATCAATGTTTCAGTCAGCCTCATTCTTTTTAATAATTGCGTGGTATTTCATTATGTGTGTGTTCCATATATATATATATATATACTTTTTTTCTTTTTTTTTTTTGAGATGGAGTTTCACTCTTGTCCCCCAGACTGGAGCACAATGGTGTGATCTTGGCTCACTGTAGTCTCCACCTCCTGGGTTCAAGTGATTATCCTGCTTCATCCTCCCAAGTAGCTGGGATTACAAGCATGCACCACCACACTCATCTAATTTTTTGTATTTTTAGTAGAGACAGGGTTTCACCATGTTGGGCAGGCTGGTCTCGAATTCCTGGCCTCAAGTAATCCACCCGCCTCGGCCTCCCAGAGTGCTGGGATTACAGGTGTGAACCACCATGCCCGGCCTACATACCATAATTTTTTGATGAGCATTTAAGTAACCAGTTTATATCTGGTTGTCGTTGAAGTTATATTGTCCTAATTGCAAACAATGAATATTCCTAGAAGTGAAATTACTGAACCAAGGAGCACGTGTTTTACATTTCCATGAGATGTTTCCAAATTACCTTCCAAAGAGCTTGCACAAATTTATACATTTTACCAATATTGTCTGAAGGTTTTTCCACACCCTCATTTACCAGTCTTTCTTTGAGGTTTGAAATGTTTAATATTCTAATAGATGAAAATTGTTGCTTTTTTAAGATATGCCTTTATTGAATGTATGTACTGAGTATTTTTTCCACAAGCCTAATAGCCATTTGAATATTTGTGTGAATCTCCTATTTTGTGTCCTTTCCCATTTTTTTCTTTTGGATCATTTGTGTCTTGCCACATTCATTTTTATGAAAGAAAAACAAATCATTTTCTAGGAGAGGCTGCCATTTAATAGATAATCCATCAGTAGTTCACAGGAATAAATACATATATTCTACACAAGGACACATGTATAAACACTCATCTACTTGGACCCCTAAAAGAAATAATAAATATGGCCACGTAGCCTAAGGAGAGAAAGAAAGTCTGTCTGGGATAGATGTGGGGACTGGCCTCACTCTTTCTACTGGTTTTCTATTGCTCTATAAAAACTGACCACAAACTTAGGAGACTCACAGTTTCCCTGGGACAGGAGTCCCACAAGGCTAAAGTCAAGGTGTTGGCTGTGTTTTCACGTGAAGCTCTGGATCCTCTTCTAAGTTCATGTGGTTGTGGCAGGACTTGGTTCCTTGCAACTATAGGACTGATTTCCCTTCCTTGCTGCCTGTCAGCTGGGAGCCACTCTCAGTTCCTATGGCTGCCCACATTCCATTCCATCTGGCCCCCTCCATCTCAAAAGTCAGCAAAGGGGAATCTCCTTTGTGTTGAATCCTTTTTGTGCTTCCAATCTCTGACCTCTAGACCCAAAACTGAGTTCATGTGATTAGGACAAGCCCAAGTGGATTACCTATCAAATGAACCGTAAAAGCCTTCCACAGCAGCCCCTAAATTAGTGTTTGATTGGAAGAGGTGTATGTGCAGTGGGGCCAGAAGTCTTGGGGACCGTCTTTAATTCTGCCCACCACATGTTCCACCTGCCTTCCTTGACAGAAGCAGACAGAACTCATACCTTTTGCCTTAGGAAATCATGGTGAAACATCCAATGCCAGAGGAAGGAGCTAGCATCCATCTAACGCCATGTACAACAAAATACATCCATATGGGTCAAAGATCTGGATGTGAGGGCCTCGCACACTGTCTCACACCTATAGTCTCAGCAGTTTGGGAAGCCAAGGCAGGAGGATTGCTTGAAAGTAGTAGTTTGAGACCAGCCTGGGTAACATAGCAAGACCTCATCTCTACCAAAAAAAAAAAAAAAAAGGCATTAGCTGGGCGTAGTGGTGCACATCTGTAGCCCTAGCTACTTGGGAGGCTGAGGTGGAAGGGTTGTTGGAGCCCAGCAGTTTGAGGCTACAGTGAGCCATGATCATACCACTGTACTCACTGTACTGGGCAACAGGGCAAGACCCTATCTCTTAAAAGGAAAAAAATCTTGATGTGAGCAGAAAGCTGGAGAGAAAATCTAGGAAACCGCTTATACAACGTATACAATGTAGGGGGTGGGGACAGGGTCAGGCAGACCTTCCTTGACTAAGGATCCAAACCTGGTATTTCTGACTCCAACATCTCCCTTCTTGACCCCCACACTGTATGGCCCACCCAGAGGACAGGTCATTCACTGGCTGCCTAAAGGATTTTGAGTTCTCTAACCTTGCTGTTTCTTCTTGATACCAGTGAGATCACAGTATGCGTTTGTGAGATGCTGACCTTGGGTGTTCAGTAGAACAGAATGAACTGACCAGAAACTAAGTAGGTGAGCCACTAAAGGGAAACTGTATTGATGAGCATTATTCTAACAGAATTCTAAAAGAACCCTCTCCCCTCCCTGTCTCTCTCTCTTTCACCCTCCCACCTGCTGCTGCGGTTCAGGCGCATTATACATGACTTGCTTGAGACTGAAGAGATGTATATAAAAGAGATTAAAAGCATAATTGATGTAAGTAGATTGGGGGAGTGGGTATCAAGCATATATTCAAACTGCAGACATTTTGTTGTACAAAAAGACTCAAAATAGTTGCCATAAGTCTCCAGAATTCCCACCAAGGTTTCAGGTCTTAAAATATTACAAGTGTCTCCAGTAGGAATAAGAGCATTCCTGTGGTTTCTTGATCCGTGTAGCCAAATAGTTTCCAAAGAATTATGCCAGTTCACACTGATTCCAGCAATGCCCAAATAGGTTTACCATCTTCTTGCCTACAAAGGATATTATAAGTGTTCCTGATACTTTAATAAGGGAAGATTATTTCTTGTTTTTTTTTAAGTAGCCTTTTTTCTTAAGAGTAAAAATGCATGTTTCCCCTATTTTCCTAAGGGAATAGTCTTAAGGAAAAAATTATATGTACACAATTATTTATAATCACATTTTTACAATAAAATATTAGAAGCAACCCAAATGTCCAATAAAAAGGGAATGTTTAGTAAATTATGATATATATGCTAAATAAACATTATTCAGATATTAAACAATTATTATTGGGCTGGGCGCAGTGGCTCACACCTGTAATCCCAACACTTTGGGAGGCCGAGGCAGGTGGATCGCCTGAGATCAGAAGTTCGAGACCAGCCTGGCCAACATGGTGAAACCCCGTCTCTACTGAAAATACAAAAATTAGCCATGTGTGGTGGTACATGCCTGTAATTCCAGCTACTTGGGAGTCTGAAACAGGAGAATCACTTGAACACGGGAGATGGAGGTTGCAGTGAGCCGAGACCACGCCATTGCCCTCCAGCCTGGGCAAGAAGAGCAAAACTTCGTCTCAAAAATAATAATAATCATAATAGTCCATGGCAATTGTATCAGGTCACAAAACAATGGGTACATTTTCCCTTCTTTTACATTAAACCTGTGTAACACAAACATTTTTAAATGTATTTGCTCTTCCCACAAAAATGCCATTTTATTATCATTGCCATTAAGCCATCTCCTTCTGAAAGTGGGCACATGAGGAAAATGATATCAAAAGAAAGTACTCGGTACAATAGCTTTCAAGAAACAAGTGTGCTATATTCTTCAATTATTTCACTAAAGTTTTGGTTTTTGGAGTAGCTAATTCAGATGATCTCTGGTATGTTCCTGTTTGTAACACCTACCTTGTTTCCACCTCTGCAGGGATATATCACTCCAATGGATTTTATCTGGCTAAAGCATCTAATTCCAGATGTTCTTCAGAATAACAAGGACTTTCTCTTTGGGAATATTAGCGAACTTTACGAATTTCACAACAGGTATATAATAATTCATGTTATCAGAAAGAATGGAGAGTAAGAGAAGGGTGGAAATGAGACTGATGGAACTGGGGGATGAAAATGCTTAGATGTTTTCAGGTTTAAGCTAGTGGTTTGGAGTCAGTGGATTGGATTGGGGTGGGTTGGAGTGAAAGGGGAGGAGAAGCCCCACAGGATCCCTGGGGAGGAAGGGAAGAGGCATCAAAGGAGCATGCACCTGGTGTCAGACATCCATATTGTATGCAGTTGAGTGTTCCTTTGTTTATTTATTTATGCATCAGCATTTTTTGAGTACCTATTCTATGCCAGGCGCTGTGATCAGCATTGAGAATACAAAGATGACCAAGATACACATCTACATACCATTATCATAAGGGGATGCTGGGAACTAGGCTGTTAGAAAATGCTGACTGCTCAAACAAGTTGTACTTTTAACCCAGGGCTGCTTAGATACTGAGTTCTAGAGAATTGCAGGAATAAGGGACTTTGGAAATCATCTTCAAACACTTTCATGTTACACATGTGGGAATGGTAACATGTTGACTCTCTTTATTTGCTATGATGACCCCAAGATTGCACACCTAATTCACAGAGGGAGAAAAGCTGCTTGATGAATTGAACCACAGTTGTTTCCTAACCCCATCCCTCGTCCATTGGTCAGACACAAAATTAAAATGGAAACCCACTTCCGCTAATTTCCCCAGAGAAGTTATGTAGCGTCTTTGAGCCCCAGGTTTTATATTTATGAAACCCTATCTTGCAGGGTTTGGTTGAAGATTAAATGAGATATTATTTGAGGAGCACTTAGCTTATGCCTGGCTTATAGTAAGCTCTCAATGATATTAGTAATAGCAACAGCAGCAGCAACAGTTCTTATGAACGTTGTTTTCATGTAACAGGGAGCATCAGTGAGTGTATCCAGTCTGTCTATGACTAGTGCTTAGAATTACCAGAATAGCTGTGTTCTGATAATTTGAGATGATCCTGACCCGCTGTGCCTTCTAAGTAGTTCTCGTTTCTCCTCTCTTTCTCAACTAGTTCTTCTCATTCTCTTTCTTAGTTTTCTTTTTGTGAACCTAAGGCAACAGATCCAACAAATTAAAGTTGTGAGTGATTTCAGGGTAATTGTAGTAATGCCTCAGAATACAGCTTTTTCTTTCTGAATCAATGTGTAGAAGACAAGGTAAGAGCAAGAAGGCCTGGAGAACATTTTTGTAGGCACCTCTTAAAACCTTATGTGATTGTACTTAAAAAAATAATTATCTGCATGTAAAAATCAAAACATTCTTACTTGTATACTTTTATTTTTCCAGGACTTTTCTAAAAGAGTTGGAAAAGTGTGCTGAGAACCCTGAACTTCTGGCACATTGCTTTCTCAAGAGAGTAAGTCTGTGCTCCCAGTAAATAACCATGTTAAAGTCAGGCCTTACTTTTCTGTATTAAGAGGTAAGGACAAATGGAAACACCAATGGTCTAAAAACATATCTGCTTCCCCCCCACTCCAAGCTTTACTGAAATATAATTGGCAAATAAAAATCGCATATATTCAAACTATACAACTTGATGGTTTGATATACTTACACCCTGTGAAATGATTACCACAATCAAGTTAATGAATACATTCATTACCATTGTGTGTGTGTATGTATATATATATATATATAATACATATATATATATATATATATAATCTAAAAAAGTTGATTTTATATCATTGAAGTAGAAGGGTGGTTTCCAGGGGCTGAAGTCTAAAGGAAGTAGGGAGATGTTGGTCACAGGGTACAAACTTGCAGTTATGAGATGAGCAAGTTCTGGAGATGTAATGCACAGCATGGCGACTATCATGGAATAATACTGCACTATATACTTGAAATTTGCCAAGACAGTATATCTTGTATCTGCCCTTTGAATGGAAAACTTGAGTTGGCCTCCCAACTTTATTTGACTTTATCCAAGGTGAGAATGAGTACAATTTGACTGAGCTCACACTGATATGCAGGAGTAACTGCAAGCCTGGCTTCCTACATAGCCCCATGAAATGGAAGGCTGGCCACCCATTGTCCCCAAAGCAGAGGTTACTCTTCTGAATGACTCAACTGTGTTTTAAAACAAGAATCATACAGTGAGATTAGAGTCCCACAATAAAGCTGTATTAATGCTCTCAAGAGGAGAAGCATTGGTGTTAAACTAAAAATCTCAGAAAATACATTTTATTTCCATTCTATTTTTTACAACATAGAGGATGATTAGAAAATTTTAAATCTACAACCTCTTTTAGGCTTAGTACTCAATTTGTGAATGTCTTGGCCTACAACATACCTCCAACTACCCCTTCTTCCCACCTCCCATACTTCTTCCTTCTTTCCCTGTTTCTCCATCCTGTTTTGGGCAACAAATAGGCTGTCTGGGCCAGTGGGAGCTGCCAAAGAGAAATGTTTCACCCAACACCATTCCCCACCAAGTGCTTTCTAGGACGCGACCATAGAGATGATCCTGATGCCCCGTGCCTTCTAAATGGTTCTCGTTTCTCCTCTCTTTCTCAACTAGTCCTTCTCATTCTCTTTCTTATTTTTCTTTTTGTGAACTCAAGGCAACAGATCAAACAACTTAAAGTTGTAAGCAACTCATATTATGACTGAGGCTGAGAGCAATACTTATGATAACTGGAAGAAAACAAAGCCCCCAGGTTTCAAGATATTTGACATTAATGGAGAGAAGGAATCTTCAATGCTCAGAGCCCTTTGGTGGCCCCATATGGCTTTCCATGTCACCTCATCATAGGTGTTAAGCTCTGAGTTACTGTTCTAGCTCCTTAACCGGTCTGAACATTTTTCAAGGGCCATCTGTCTTAAGTGTGTGTGTCATTTTTTTCCTGGAGGGAATAGCAAAGGACGGTTGCTGTAGTTCTTATGCTTAAAGTGACCACTTACAACCTCTTGGGACAAAGCAAGAGCTATAGAAATGGAAGTCATTCACCATAGCGATGTATTTGGGAGTCGAACAGGCATCATTGAAGCTGCGAGGGAAGAAATCATCTGTGTTGGCATATGATGGAAGTCCAGAGTTGGGCTGAGCAGGACAGGGACACAGACTTCAGCAAGGAGGTGGCTGCATGGGCTTCTCCAGCAGAGTGGCATGGGATCTGTGGCCAGCACAGCCGCTGTGGGCCAGGCTCCCTGATAGAGCAAGTGAAGCTGGCAGGCTGACTCCAGAGGCTTGAAGTGTGCTCTCTCTCTGGGATATTGGCAGATGTGTGCCTACCTCTCAGCGTCTTTGATACCATGAGAATACAGGTTGAGCAGCACCTTGAGTCCTCCTTGCTCTCCAGCTCCGAAACAGTCACATAACATTTCCTGTCTCAGAGTCTTGTGCTGCAGGTTGAAAGTGATGTTTGAGGCAGAGCCTGTCACTTTGAGGGTTGCCCAAATCACTGAGATCCATATTGGTTGCCCAATCTACCACATCTCCCCTCTGGCATGTTTCCATCTTTTGGTTGTTTCTTGGGCTTCTTTGTAGGGTTGGTGTCACGATGACCACAAGGAACGGGTGGGGAGAGAAAAGAGGGGGCCATCAACCACCAGCCTCTTTTCTGTCAGTTTTACTACTCATTGCAGACCTGTTGTGGGGAGATGTCGATGTCCTGGACAAAGGGCCGGAAAAGAATGATAAAGATAAAAACCAATTCCTGTTTGTGAGTCTACTTATGTATTTACCAATAGCCCTTGTAGATGTTCCCAGAGCACTCTGTGCCCATCTATGTCCAGTAGTTATGGTTGTTTATAGCCTTCTGTTTCTCTCTCCATCACACACGCATCCCAACATAAGATTACTTACTGTGCACCCCCAATTCCTTACACATTAGAGTACTCTGGCTTGTTGAATGAATGAATAAACTGTGTTATCCTGTCCACTTACTGAAAAATGCTACCTGATTAATTTGTTCTAATTTTTTCCCACCTAGAAAGAAGATCTTCAGATATATTTTAAATACCATAAGAATCTGCCCCGAGCTAGGGCAATCTGGCAAGAGTGTCAAGACTGCGCCTACTTTGGGGTAATGTTGAGAAGACAGAGTCTCCCACAGATTGTTCCTGGAAAATGTTTCTATGCATCAAGTTGTTAAAGAAATCAAAAGTGGGACTAGGGAGAGGAATTAGACATTGGGATTTATGTTTACTTAAATTGTCCCATACTTTGAAATTACACATGAAAAGTTTCGACACAGTCTTTGGTCTCTATGGGATAGGCCTGTGAGGAGCACCTATATCTGGTGAGAAAACCAGTGTCTTCTTCTAGGATGGGTTTTTAAAATGAAACTAAGTCAAAAATATCACACTTTGGGCTACCTGGAATGATATCTACAAACCATCTGTATCCTTCAGGCTCCAGATGGCCTGAATAGACTCTGGCGGCCCCCAGCTTGAAGACAGGCAGCCTTCTTTTCAGAAGGACTTGAAATGCCCCACTGTTTTCTAGTGAACTTGCTTTCTGAAAGAAATAAATGGTTCTGCTTCCCTAGATGCCTGTAAAAATCTTAGCCAAACCGTCCTCTTTCCTCTTTCTCTTATTTCACGCACTGTTCCTAGGGGACAGAACAACCCCACAGCCTTATGGAGCTGCTCGACAGCTGCCCCTATTGTCCAGGAAAAGCAATTCTGTGTTTTGTACCTAAATGCTGCCACTTTTATTCTGTGTGTATTGTTTGTTTTATGTTGTTTCTATTTGGCTTTTAAAGGTATGCCAGCGCCAACTGGATCACAATCTCCCTCTTTTTAAGTATCTTAAAGGACCAAGCCAGAGACTTATAAAATACCAGATGCTGTTGAAGGTAAAATCAATGAGACTTCCATTGTGGGAAACCAGGCGCCTGCACTATGGTGCCCTTGTCGTTATGCATGTAGAGCTGTGCCTTTGTCTTCTAAGGCTGAAGATGTGTCCATCCTGCCGGCTTTTTCTTTTCCTCCAACTCTAAATCAGCCCTCTTCAAGGTGGAGTAAGACCAAAGAATCATAGAGTTGGAGGGCACCTGAGGGCCTCACTAGTCTAATGTGTAGCTCAGGGCATGAATCACTAAGGAGCCTGGCTTAGGGGAGGAGAGCTCTTTGGGAGCGAGAGTGTGATTTTCCACAAAGTTACTGTTTTATGGGCATTTTAACTTATGGAAGGGAGAAGACAAAACTGAAGTCTTCTCTCCTTTTGCAGCGCTGACCTCCATTCTTAGATTTAGGATCTTACCCTGAGAGCAGCCTAACAGAATGAACTTTGCTATATCTGAACCCTGAACCCCTAAGTGGTTCTGTCTCTCTCTGTCTCTCTGACCTTTGCCCCTCCTTAGTGATAAGTCATTGACACTAGCACATCTGCAGGCAAGCATTCTCAGACACCCCAAACAGGATTTGAGGGCCTATCATGGCTGGTTTTCCATGTGTGAGCTTGAGGGAAAGGTTTGGGCCACCGCGGTACGTTGTCTGTTGAATTAACCTCTATGAGGCATTTAGGTAGCTCTTGCCCAGTGGCCACTGTCTCTTAATAAAAAAAAAAAAAACAAAAACAAGCACCTACTGTTTACTGGGTGCTTCCCCATGTGTATTTCTTTTTTTGTTTTGTTTTGTTTTGTTTTGAGATAGAGTGTGACTCTGCCCAGGCTGGAGTACAGTGGCGCAATCTCAGCTCACTGCAACCTCTGCCTCCCAGGTTCAAGCAATTCTCCTGCCTCAGCCTCCCGAGTAGCTGGGATTACAGGCATGCCACCATGCCCGCTATTTTTGTATTTTTAGTAGAGACAGAGTTTCATCATGTTGGTCAGGCTGGTCTTGAACTCCTGACCTTGTGATCCACCCACCTCAGCCTCCCAAAGTGCTGGGATTACAGTATTTCTTATTTAATCCCCACAATCAGACATACCAGCCATGCTCTGGACTGTGAAAAAACTGAGGCTCAGGAAGGTTAAGCTCATTGCCCAACAATCTCCCCTCGGAAAAAGTTACCCCTTTCAGGCCAGACATGATGACACACACCTGTAGTCCCAGCTACTTGCGAGGCAGAGGCAGGAGCATCCCTGAGTCCAGGAGTTCAAGGCTAACCTGGGCAACATAGCGAGACCTCATCTGTAAAAATAATTTAAGGCCCAGTGTGGTGGCTCACACCTGTAATCCTAGCACTTTGGGAGGCCAAGGTGCGCAGATCATGAGGTCAGGAGATTGAGACCATCCTGGCTAACAAGGTGAAATCCCGTCTCTACTAAAAATAAAAAAAATTAGCCAGGCGTGGTGGTGGGTGCCTATAGTCCCAGCTACTCGGGAGGCTGAGGCAGGAGAATTGCGTGAACCTGGGAGGCGGAGCTTGCAGTGAGCCGAGATTGTGCCACTGCACTCCAGCCTAGGCAACAGAGCAACATTCTGTCTCAAAAAAAAAAAATTTTTTTTCAAAGTTACTCGTTTCAAGCTTTCCATTAGCAGTTTTAGCCTCAGCATACTCTGCCATTTGTCAGTTATGAGACCTTGACCTCTTGGGCCTTAGTTTTCCTCTATGTAAAATGAGGGTACTAGAACCTCCTCTGTAAGATCGTTATGAAGCAGATGATTAGCACACGCGGAGGGCTTGGCACAGCCCAGGAAGCTCTGCATGATGCGTAGCTGTTATCTTAGACACCGAGACTGTCACACCACCATAGAAATGAGGATAATGATCTGCTTCCTTCAGCGAGCAGCACCTCGGAGCATGTTTGACACAGCACTCACTCAAGGCTTCATGCTCCTCTGCATGTCCCATTGTCACTGTCATTCCTATTCTAGAAGTCCAACCTCTGGGCCCAGTGAGGAGTGAGCAGGATGTAAGTGATGGTCCTCCCTCCTTCAGCCTAGGCTCCAGCTTTCCCACAGAGGTGACATTTACACACGAGCTAGGTTCGTACCAGACGCAGAGGGCTGTGGGACATCGTCACTGGAAACACAGACTCGAGAGTTTAACAACCTGGGTCTGAATCCAGGCTCTGACCCTTCCAGGATGCGTGAACTCAGGCAAGTTACTTAACCTCTCTCAGCCTCAGATTTCTCACCCGTAGAATTAAGATAATAATAGTATTTTCCTGGAATGCTTGTTGGGAGCATTAAATGAGACAATACAGGTTAAAAGCACTTAGAAGGTTTTGTTAGCTGCCTTTCACTGAAGAAACAAGAGATAGAATTACTACAACATATTTCGCAGGGGGTCTGTGAGGAATTGTGGGGGCTACCCAAGGCAGACCAGAGCAGCGTCCCCACAGCTAAGCTTGCTGGTGCCTGTGAAACCAGCTCAGGCCATCGCATGCCTGCAAAGAAAGGAAAGACCTTGTAGTCCTGTCTAGGACCTTCTCTATCCCCAGGGGCGGAGCTTATTTTGCTTCTGCCACATATGAGCTGGCTTGACAGAGCATGAATGTTGGACTGATTGCTTTAGAAAGGATCATGGGGTCTTGGGGAGAGGGTGATCAGTGATAGCTTATACCATTAAAGACAAAGACTCATGAAACGTTGGGGAAAACGTGAACAAAATATGTAACAGATGGTCAGTATGCTTAATGAATCATGTGCTCTTGGAAATTATAATAAAAAGATGTGCAAAGGACATAGCAGTTTGCATAATAAACACCGCTAGTAGCAAACATTTTTTTAAAAAGTTCTACACCTCTAGTTATCTAAGGAAGTCAAAATAAAACAACAGTGAGGTAGGATTTCTCTTTTCATTCAATTGTTAAAGATTTTTTATTAAATGGTACTACCCCTTGTAGGCTAGGAGCTGGTGAGACAAGCTTTCCTATATAGCTGGCAGGAAAACAGTCCTTCTGTGAAGAACTTGGAAATATGCCTCAAAACTATTAACATTTACAATTCCACTCTAGGAATTTAGCTTTAAGAAAAATGCACAAAAGTTATTATCATTATTATAGTAAAAAATATTGTTAAACCTAAATGTTTAATGATAAGGGGGACTATAATTCGATTATGGTTTATCTATAAAATATAACACGCTACCACAATCAAAGCCCATGTTTTAGAAAAATATAAGGGGAAAATATTCATGAGATATTGTTGAATGAGAAAAAGCAGTCTACGAAATAGGGTGTACAATATGATTCTAGGTTTGTGGAAAGAACCCTGTGCCAAATACATCATTTATTCTTTCCCTCTTACACATTTACACACGTTCTCAGTCAGCTTAGCACTGGTGACAGATAGTTTGCACAGTAGATTTTGTTGACAATCTACATTTTGATGGCAATCTACGTTTTAATTTTCAACAAGACTTTTGGGTTAATGCAGGGTCTGCTGGATTTCGAGTCTCCAGAAGATATGGAGCTAGACCCAGGTGAACTAGGAGGCTCCGCTAAGGTACTGGATATTAAATATTACATTTATATAACTGATTGTTAATGGTGTTTGTCTATGGGTCAGAGGATTTACAGCAATTTTACTTGGTGATCTTTATTGTCTAGATTTCCTAAAACTGTATGTATCCTATAACTCATAGTCAAGAAAAAAATCAAAGGCAATTTTAAAGTAGGGATTTGCAGCCCAAAGGGAAGTGGTAATGTATTTTCTTCCTTCCACATAATTTTTTTTTTTTCAGACAGAATCTCACTCTGTTGCCCAGGCTGGAGTGCAATGGTGCAATCTTGACTCACTGCAACCTCCACCTCCCGGGTTCAAGTGATTCTCCTGCCTCAGCCTCCCAAGTAGCTGGGATTACAGGTGCCCACCACCATGCCCAGCTAATTTTTTTATTTTTAGTAGAGACGGAGTTTCGCCATGTTAGCCAGACTGGTCGCTAACTCTTGACTTCAGGTGATCCACCCGCCTCGGCCTCCAAAGTGCTGGGATTACAGGCGTGAGCCACTGCGCCCAGCCAAAAAAAATTTTAATGGGAACAAAATTAAGCCAATGCGTAAAATGCATACATAAAAGACTGGAAGTAAATAAATATGATAAAATGTCTGCTATGGTTTTCCTGAATGGTAGGATTATGTTTTCTTCTTTGTACCTCTTAGTGTATCTAATTTGTATGTGTTATGTCTTGTTCTCCTCTCTCTCTCTGTGTGTGTGTGTGTGTGTGTGTGTGTGTGTGTGTGAACTCTAAGAATCTGCCAAAGTTCCCTTAGAAGAAATGGTGACTGTGACCACATCAGGTTGGAAAGAAATCTGTGGTTTAGCAGTGGGGTTTCTCTTCCATTTTCTATAGAATATTCTAGTTTTAGCAATAAACACTTAAGACATGTCTCATGGGTCAGTCATTTGCATGCCCTTTCTGCTCAGAATGGATGACAAGGACCCCTTGAAAACAGAAGCAGCTCAGGACACAGGTAGTATTTTTACAGCCGGGAGCAAGAGGAGCTACCCCTAGTTAGAGGAGTTTAATAATGTTTTCGAGGATTTTTCTGAAACCTATATTATATAATTCAAAACCCTAGCCACCTCATGTTTTGTGAAGAAGGGTTAGTGGAAGGAAGGAGGATAGGAGCATGTGAGGATCTGAAAGGAAACTGAGCATTCAGTGTTAGGTAAGGAGAAAGATGCCTGGTATAAGAACTTTTTTAAAAAATTTGTTTATTTGTTTATTTTTTTGAGACAGAGTCTCACTCTGTCACCCAGGCTAGAGTGCAATGGCATGGTCTCAGCTCACTGCAGAGGTGGAGACCTCCCGGGTTCAAGCTATTATCCTGCCTCAGCCTCCTGAGTAGCTGGGATTACAGGCACCCGCCACTACACCTGGATAATTTTTGTATTTTTAGTAGAGATGGGATTTCATGACGTTGGCCAGGCTGGTCTTGAACTCCTGACCTCGTGATCCACCACTCTCGGCCTCCCAAAGTGCTGGGATTACAGGCATGAGCCACTGCGCCCTGCCAAGAACTCTTAATCCCTTATTGATGATGTTAAAATAAATTCAGGTGAGAGTCTGTAGTCTTACCAAGAAGTGAAGCTTCTTTATTATGAATGAGAAGCGACGAATCCATGGTACGTTGTTCAGAGGCAGCAGCATGATCTGTTCCATTCACCAGCCCTGTCACTCATGTCTCTCATCCAAAGATGCAAAAACCCAGTGCTTCTCCATAGATTGAGAAAATATTAAACCCTTTGACTACATTGTGCTGTAGAGCACAAAAGGAGTCAGGGCTAGTTGGGGAGCAGCAAAGGGGCTAGCTGTTCTTTGTTGTAGAAATTGAGATGTTAAAAAAATACATTGAATAAACCAAAAAATTTTTTATGTGTATTTACCAGGTAACAGATAAATACAGCATGTCAGTAGCAGGGAGATAAAATACCGCAAACCCATGCAAAAGCCTTTTGAGCTGAAACAATCATCCCAATCACATCCTAAATGTCACTGTGGTTATAATTGGAACATTGATCTCTTTAATTAGTTACTGCTTTTCCGCTGAATGCTGAGTCTCTATGTTTGGGAGGTACAGAGCGCTGGCTTATCTCTTTGGCATCTGTAATGGGGTGCAGTATGGGGAGGGCCAGGGACAGTGGAGGAAGGAAGAACAGAGTCGGGGGAGATTCAGTGTGCAAATATGATGTTATGGCTTTTACATGTAAATCATTAGTAAATTTTCACATAGCAGCCTCTGTGGAGTTCTTTGTCTCTATAGGAGTTTACAAATGTCCTCCTCTGGGATGATTTTAAGTATAATTTTACCCATAGGAATAAAGCTTTCACATTAAATACAGGAATATGATACTCAGATTGTACTCTTTTTATTTGTCTTTTTTTTTTTTTTTTTTTTTTTTTTTGTGAGACAAGGTCTCACTTAGTTGCCCAGGCTGGAGTACACTGGTGCAATCTTGGCTCTCTGCAAACTCTGCCTCCCGGGTTCAAGCAATTCTCCTGCCTCAGCCTCCTGAGTAGCTGGGATTATAGGCACGCACCACCACACCCAGCCAATTTTTTTAAATTTTCTTTTTCTTATTTTTTTATTTTGAGACAGGGTTTCACTCTTGTTACCCAGGCTGGAGTGCAATGGTACAATCTGGGCTCACTGCAACCTCTGCCTCCTGGGTTCAGGCAGTTCTCCTGTCTCAGCCTCCCAAGTAGCTGGGATTACAGGTGCCCGCCACCACACTAAGCTAATTTTCGTATTTTTAGTAGAGATGGAGTTTCACCATGTTGGCCAGGCTGGTCTCAAACTCCTGACCTCAAGTGCTCTGACTGTCTCAGTCTCCCAAAGTGCTGAGATTACAGGCGTGAGCCACTGTGCCCGGCCATATGGTTTTGTTTTTTTGTTTTTTTTTTTTTTTTCAATTAGCCCCAGGGAATAGGGGTATAAAAGAGAGAGGAACCTATTTAAAAGGAGCTAGGTTTTTCCATGCTTTAAAAAAGCTGAATTCTGGCCAGGCACAGTGGCTCATGCCTGTAATTCCAGCACTTTGGGAGGCCAAGAGGGGCGGATCACCTGAGGTTAGGAGTTCGAGACCAGCCTGGTCAACATGGCAAAACCCGGTCTCTACTAAAAATACAAAAATTAGCCAGGCATGGTGGTGCTCACCTGTAATCCCAGCTACTCGAGAGGCTGAGACAGGAGAATTGCTTGAACCCAGGAGGCAGAGGTTGCAGTGAGCCAAGTTCGTGCCTCTGCACTCCAGCCTGGGCAACAGAGTGAAACTCTCTCTCAAAAAAAAAAAAAAAAAAGCTGAGTTCTATATGTTTCTTATGTAGCAGGAATATAATTTCCATGATTTATGAACTCCATTCTTCACTAGTACAATGCACAGAAGTAGATGATTTTACTTGTCTCTATATCATATACCTAAACCACAAGCATCTTTAGCCACCATGCTTTGGGAGCAGGGAGACAGATCAATATCCACCATTCTCAGTCAGGGTTGGCTGGATCCCCAGCTCCTCATCTCTGTCCTGTTTTCCTTCTTTGCTTTCCAGATTGTATACTTTTGATTTCCAACAAGGCATTTGTTTTCCACAGGATGGGCCAAAGAGAACCAAGGCTTCAGCATTCTCAGCTGAACTACAACAAGCTTTGGCAGTGATAGAGGATTTGATCAAGTCCTGTGAGTTGGCTGTGGACCTAGCAGCAGTGACTGAATGTCCGGTATGTTCCATAGCAGCGTTAGAGCATCTCACACAAAAGGCAGGTGCAATACTACACAGCAAGGAAATGCTCTGGCAAAGTCAGAGAGATCGTCTATGGTAAAGAAATTGAACTCTGAGGAAAGTCACCTAAATCGCTTAGTAAACCCAGGCTACGAGATTCCAAGCAGTCCCTTGGCATCTTCAGGAATCTTGGGTTTATTCCTCAGGGTTCTGAATGTGGGATTGACCCACTGTCTGGACAAACCAGAAAGTCAAGGGCCATAACATAAATGGGCAGAGGAAAAGTCCTGGAGGAGCAATTGATTTTCTAACTTGTGGCATTGTTAAAATAGTGAAAGATTTGTCTTCTTGTTTCAGAGTTTCTCTGAGAAAAGTATTTTGGAAACAGGTCCTATATTCTTGCCCCAATTTTATATCACAGATCCCAGAAGAGGCCCCAAAAATATACAGTGTACATGCCTTAATCCAAATGGTCTAATGAAAACCCAAGAGATGCATTTAGAGGCCAACACTGGGGAGCTGAGCTCCAGCATCAGTGTTAATCTGGAGCAGGCTGGTTCCAGGCATTCCAGGCAAAACATCCCCTATAACTGTATGATCTCTTTGAGACTGGAGCATAGTTAATATTCGACTTGTTTTGTTTTTTACTTTGAAGTACTCTAGATTTTGATTCAGATGTATTTGTTTTATTTCACTGTCATAATAAATTACCGTAAGTTTGGTGGCTTAGAGCAGCATAAATTCATTATTATTATTATTTTGAAGTTCCAGGGTCAGAAGTTCAACACAGTCTCATGGGCTAAAATTAAGGTGTTTCCTTTCCTTTGTGGAGACTAGCATCTGTCTCATTGAGTTTTCCAGCTTAAAAAGGCCACCCACGCTCCGTGGCTCATGGCTTCATAGCCAGCAATGGCAGGCAGGTTGAGTTCTTCTTTTTTTTTTTGAGACAGAGTCTTGCTCTGTCGCCCAGGCTGGAGTGCAATGGCACAATCTTGACTCACTGCAACCTCTGCCCACCAGGTTCAAGCGATTCTCCTGCCCCAGCCTCCTGAGTAGCTGGGATTACAGGCGCCCATCACCATGCCCAGCTAATTTTTGTGTGTGTGTGTGTATTTTTAGTAGAAACGGGACTTCTCCATGTTGGTCAACCTGGTCTCGAACTCCTGACCTCATGTTCCACCTGTCTCCACCTCCCAAAGTGCTGGGATTACAGGCAAGAGCCACTGTGCCAGGCCAAGTTCTTCTTACATCACATCTCTGTGACCCCTTCTTCTGCTTTTTTGTCACTTGTGATTATATTATACTTTTTCCTTTTTTTTTCTTTTCATTTTTGTCTGGTTTTGAACATACCATGTATGAGGTCTTGGTAGAGGAAATGACTTTTCTTTCCTTGTCATAAGTCAAACCATGAAAGTTATTAAGGTCCGAAAAATGAGATGTTTTTACTTCCCATGCTGGTATTTCTTGGGCCTGGATCTCAGAAACTTAGCCCCACAAACCCTGTGATCCCAGCCATGATGCTGTTACTGTCCCCTGGGACTCCAAGGTGCCTCTGCTCATGACTGATGCATGATTCAAGAGGATATGCATAAACTGCAGAGTAGGGTTATGTTGTGTGTAAGGATCATTTTCTTGGTAATAATTCTTCCTTCTTCGGCTAAGGAAAGTCAAGGGAACAATTTGTTAGGTCAATTTGGGGCATCTTTCTGTTCTTTCTTTAATCTTGAATCATGTGTTAGCCACCCCTATTAAATTTCATTTCCCTGAATCTAATGAATGTCCTGGAAATGATACACAGAGCAGGAAACTCTTAGTGTAAATAACATAGGAGGAGGAGGCTGTGAGAAAAGAATGGTTAAAACATGAGGAAATAATATTCTGCCTTAATTTCATTCCAAGCTAGTTTGCATGCAAATAGGATGTACCAGCTTATAGAATTTGGAGATTTTACACGCAAAGCAAAGGACCTTTTTTGACCATGTGTCCTCAGAACTGTGCCTTTGCCAGATGCTTTTTGGTGCCTTTTCTACTAAGACTTAACTTACTTTTACATCTAATACATTAGCTGATTTCTCCTGACAGTTTTGTATAATCCTGTTGAATTATGGAGGAGTAGGCATTGGAATTTTCAACCTTCTGATTCAAAAGAAGATCCATGGAAGAAGAGTTAACTCACTCAAGATTACATGGCTATAAGTTTGGACTATTTTTTGTTCATTCCCTATCCAGGGTGCTATTCCACTCTTTATCTGATTCTGATTAGAGTTGACTAACAACTACCTCTAACTCAGCTCAAATGATTCTGAGACTCTGTCTCCATTTTGTAAAGTTTTATTACAGGTGTTTATAATCACATGCTATATGCATGGCTGAATCCAGAGTTTAACCTCTTAGTTTCTCTGCTTGAAATTTAATATTAACCTGGTTTTATAAAGGAAAGAAATTGAATGTGATAATTAAATTATCACAATTAAACAACTAGAAAACAACTAGAAAAAAAATCCCTTCTGATATTTATATTTTCTCCTTTTTATGCATATTCAATTAGTCCTGGGTCTAACTTAATCACAGAAGTTTAAAATTCTTTTCCAAACAAGTTTGTTTTGTGGAACACTGAGATATAATTTTCTTCTATGCATTTGCAAAAAAAAAAAAAAAAAAAAGTTTTTTTCAAATCCAATGCAAAATAGAGATGCATTTAAATTCTGACTTGCCAGGGACAAGTTCCAAAGTTGAATTGTAAAGATTGAATGGAACAGTCTTCCTTTTTGGAACAAATCTATATAAACCACTAAAGGATGTATTTGTATTGGAAGTTCGTTGTGGGCTAGGGCCAGGATTTTATTTCTATTGCAGTTTCCTCTTTCCTTACCCCAGTGTTACCTGCAGAGATAGGGCTGAGTAAATAATCCTAGTGACCCAGGCAAAGTATCTTGTTCATTCCACCCTCCGCCCCCTCCATAACACCTGTATTGCAGGTGGTTGCCGGCAGTAAATGAGGATTAAATGATGGGTAAGGCACCAAGCACTGTGTCTGGCGCCCAGCAGATGCCGAACAAACAGCCCTAGTGGTAAGTTATATGGGGACCTGCTCAGGCTGGAAAGGAAGAAACCTTTTTGCCCCTGACTATTGTAATCACAGGCTCCAACAGCTTCTGCTTTTCATTTCTGGACTCAGGCTCTGTGTGGATCCATTTATACAGATGTTTCCTGCTTCTTTGTGCAATAAGTTTGTGACAGTCACATTAACTCTTACTACCAGGAATGGAAACGTGGGCACCCAAAAGAAGCTCTTCCTGAGGCCAGCTTCCCTAGATTCAGTCTCTCAGCCAGACTCTTCATTTGGCCAATGTAGTCACATTTGAAATCCTTGTATCGGGGCTCTGACCTACAGAATGCCCAGGCATGAAAATGGTAGCATTTACTAATTGATTTTGCTATCACTTCTTGTACAGAGGAGGCCATCTAACTTATCACTTACTCGTTTGAGGTAGCCCCTATATTCCATCTCTGAGTTCACAACCATCAGGTTCTTCCACACACCGTGTGATATGGCCACACTTGTTACTAGTGGAAAACAGTTGGGAGTATATTCGTTTCCTAGGGCTGATGTCACAAAGAACCACAAACTACTTGACTTCAAACAACAGAAATTTATTCTCTCACAGTTTTGAAGGCTAGACGTCCAAAGTCAAGGTGTGAGCAGGCCCACATTCCCTCTGAAGGCTCTCAGGAAGAATCCTTCCTTACCTCTTCAGAGCTTCCGGTGACTGCCGGCAATTCTTGGAGTTCCTTGACTGAGAGCTGCCCCACTCCAATTTCTGCCTCTGCCCTCGCATGGCTGTTCCTTCAGCGTGCGTCTCCATTTCTTTGTTTTCTCTTTTGATAAGGACACTGGTCATTGGATTTGGACACATCCTAACCAAGTGCAACCCCATCTTAACCAATTATATCCGCAAAGACCCTCTTTCCTAATAAGGTCATATTTTGAGGTTCTCATAGACATGAGATTTTGGGGCAACACTCTTCAACCCAGTACAGACGCATCACTGAATGAACTCCTTGGATAAATCAGTATTCCCTCACAGTGATGAGTCTTTTGCTTCCTGTCCCCTACTCCCAAGCACCACTAAATGCCAATAAATAAATACGAGGGAATGCCAATAAATAAATAAATACCAGGGAACACGTATCTGAAAGAGGTTGTGCAACGTGGCCTCTGACCTTGAGATCAAGTACAGTCTAGTTGGAAAGAAAAGGTACACATGATGGAAAAGGTCATTCTTGCTCCTGCTCAGGGAATGTCCCTGCAGCTTCCTGTTGGAGGTGGAGTAGCTCCACACAGCACACACCGTGATGACGGTGAAGCGTGTGTGCCTGCTCTTCATCAGCACCGGGTAGGGCATGTGCTCACCCGCTGGAGATTGGACCTTGGGCGTGGAGATGGGCGATCCTGTCATATGTGTGGTCTGAGAACCATTGTGCAATATGACCCAGAGGATATGTGCCCATATGTTTCTGCCAGACTTGAAAGACCCAGCGACTCTCTCCAGTCACTTCCGGTGATAATAGGCTTACTGGAAAGCTGACCTGCGGCGTCTCAAGAAGTCACAATGGCAAAGCCAGGCTCATGGAGATGGGAACTGAACAAACCTGGGATCCACAGCAGCTCTGGGGCCTGGGCCTGGGGAGGGAGCCGGGGTTCTTACCCGTGTGCCCTGCCTGTATGTGTCAAGTGCACCTACATGCCTGCTCGCCCCTCCTCTTGCCACCTACTGACTGTTTTTTTCCCTTCCGTCAGTGTCTTCCTCTTCCTCATAATTTCTAATGACTCACCTTCTTCATAGTCGTTTCCTTTTTGTTTATTCCGCTGCCTGCTTTCCCCTAAAGCATCTCACAGCCCCATCTCCTGCTGGTCACCGCATCCTCCTGTTTTCTTCAGTTCAGGGAGATACCACATTGCCACTTCCAACCCCTGGCACATTGTTTTATGCTGGGGGCCCTATGGTCAGCTGCTGGGGCCTCTCTGAATTCACATCCCTGAGTAGGAGCAAGAATGACCTTTTCCGTCATGTGTACCTTTTCTTTCCAACTAGACTATAATTGATCTCAAGGTCAGAGGCCACGTTGCACAACCTCTTTCAGATGCATGTTCCCTGGTATTTATGTATTTATTTATTGGCATTCCCTAGTATTTATTTATTGGCATTTAGTGGTGCTTGGGAGTACGGGACAGGAAGCAAAATACTCATCACTCTGAGGGAATACTGATTCATCCAAGGAGTTTGTTCAGTGATGCCCCTGTACTGAGTTGAAGAGTGTTCCCCCAAAATCTCATGAGAACCTCAAAACTTGCCTATGAAGGTACAGCAGCATGGCTATGGATGGGGTGAGAAGGAGGGTTCAGAGGTAATAAAGCACAAACCTAGCTGCCTGAGGCTGCCTCTTCAGCATTTCTGGTTGGGGCTGTTTCCTCTACAGTAATAGTCTGTAGCCTTGCGGATGCCTTAACTCACGTCACCCCATCTTCCACAAGTCATTAAAGAGAGGACACCTGGACTTATGCCCCTTCCCCCATCATCCTAGCCTCTTCTAGAATTACTTTGACAGTTGAGCCTCCACACTGACCGCATGTGTTCTTACGAGCAGCTTTACCTAAAACATGTTCCTCTTTCTAACGTAGAGCGTGGTTGAAGATGTTGCTCAGTGACAACATATCATTGGGAGAAATGTTTCTTATAGCTTAACAGGAATAGCTGTGCTTTTCCTGAACAACTTGTTTGTGTATGTCTTCAGACACAATAAATCATATCACTCACCATGTTTCCCTCTGTATGGCTATTAGAAAGTCAGAGCCAAGTCTGCAGCAAGTTTAAATGACTTTATTATATGCATTTTACATATAACCTCTTCATCTTTTCTTTCATCTTCTACACCTTCTGGAACAGTTCTTCTGATTTATTATCTTTATTTTTAGGGATGGGGATCTCCCTATGTTTCCCAGACTGGTCTCCAACTCATGGACTCGAGTGATCCTCCTGCCTCAGCCTCCCAAGTAGTTGCGACTACAGGCAGGCGCCAACCTCCCAACTTCTTTGCTTTTTCTTCACCCTAATTCTCTCAGTTATTTTCTATCTGCCTATACTGTATGTATTTCTCTAAGATGTGTCAAATGTTTAAAGTGAGGTAGAGAGTGAATACATTGTAAGATAGAAACTACAAGTTTGAATATCCCTTAGCCAAAATGCTTGAGACCAAAAGTGTTTTGGACTTTTTTTTTTTTTTAGGGGAGGATTGGAATATTTGCATATACATATTGAGTTATGTTGGAGATGGAACCCAAGTCTAAACACGAAATTCATTTATGTTTCATGTATACCTTATACAGTTAGACTGAAGGTAATTTTACATGTTTTAAATAATTTTGTGCATGAAGGCTGGGTGCAGTTGGTCATACCTGTAATCCAAGCACTTTGGGAGGCCAAGGCGGGCAGATCACCAGAGATCAGGAGTTCGAGACCAGCCTGGCCAACATGCCGAAACCCCAGCTCTACTAAAAATACAAAAATTAGCCGGGCATGGTGATGCACGCCTGTAATCCCAGCTACTCGGGAGGCTGAGGCAGGAGAGTCCCTTGAACTCAGGATACGGAGGTTGCAGTGAGCCAAGGTTGTGCCACTGCACTCCAGCCTGGGCAACAGAGCAAGACTCCATTTCAAAAAAATAAATAAGTAAAAAATAATTTGGTGCGTGAAGCAAAATTTTGACTGTGTTTTGACTGCCACCCATCACATGTGGGCAGGTATGGAATTTTTCGCTTCCAGTGTCATACTGGTTCTCAGAAAGTTCCAGATGTTGGAGGATTTCAGATTTTTTAAATTATGGATGCTCAACCTGTGCCGATAACATTTGTTTATGCAGCGAATATTAAGTATCTGCTTCTACCAATTGCTTTTACAAAAACATACTTCCTGCACTATTTATGTCGATATTGAGTACGAACTGAATGAGTTTAAAGGAGAAAGCAATCACTAGGATCTGTAGTGATCACATTTGAGTAGGTCCTTGATGGATGCAGATAGAGTGAAAAAATTATCCAGGGTCCTCATGGGCCTCTCCACCCTTCTGTTTTGGAATGTGGTGAACTGTTAACACAGAACAGGAGCATTGGCTTTTAGGAAAGAAGGCCTCATTCCTGGACGTTTGAGGGTTTTATTCACCGCAGTCGACATATATAAATTTTCCAAAGAAGAAAATAAAAAATTAACATAGAAAATAATGCCATAGACACCATAGAAATGACTAGAGTTTATTGCTCTTGAAGTTTTTCTTTTAATGTTTCAGAAGTTAAGTCAATTCTTTAAAAAAAAAAAAAAACAAACCTAAAGTTTGCCTAACATATAAACTATAAATTATAAAAATGCCCAATGAATTATGAATGGAGTACGTATTTCCGGTATTAACTCAGGAATCATAAGGATTGATCTCAGCTAGAGGTCACTTAGGGAGATTTCTTTGTCTTTGTCCCCTTCAAATAATTTGTTCCTTTTGGTGTTTTTATTCAGGGAAATGAATTCTTACCTGCTTTAAGCAATCAAAGTTTTGAAAAATACCAGATAAAATGTCTCGCTCCCAGCTCGTCTTAGTCCACTGTCTTTTGAAGAGAGCTCAGAGAAGGCAGGGTCATCTCATTTGGACTTTCAACCAGACATGTGACAAAGGCAGCCTTGCTGGTGGAGAGAGAGGCAACTCAGTATATACCTAGAGTCAAACAGACTTTTACCTGTCATTTGGTATTATCTTGGCACTGTTGACTCACTCTGAAAAACCCAGAGCTGAATGCAGTTAATGTTTCCATTACAATGTTATGAAGATTAGATCATACTAAACTTTCTCTTTTCAGAAAAAGCTTCATGTTCTCAGATTCTCATATACCTGAAGCAGAAGTTAGGATGCAGATGGAACACACAGATGCTCATGGGTCCATAATGCAGCCAAAATTCTGTCTCTCCTGGATATAATTGAAATGTTAATTTCTTGTCCCTTTGAAGGAGACTGTCACGTATCAAACATAGTGCAGAGGAAATTGAATTCTGCTAGTTAAAAATTAACTGAGTCAAAAATATCACAGTCCCCTATCTCTAGCCCAAGTATTTCTAGCATTCTTTACGTGTAGCATTACCTTTCATAGCTGAATTGATTTCCTTGTATAACTAAATGGTGCCACACTCAGTGAAGCTCACAAAATTGTAGTTTTGATTTAGTGACAGATCAGCCTGAATAGCACTGTTAGAATTGTAAACTTCAAAGAAGCATGCTTTCTAAAATTTGAAAACAGGCCACAAAGGCTTCTTTCTCTGTCAAGTAATTTTACAGCTTCTTTTCCTGTATGTGTGTTTCCAAAAGGATGACATTGGAAAACTAGGCAAGCTGTTGCTGCACGGCCCTTTCAGCGTCTGGACAATTCACAAGGATCGTTATAAAATGAAGGATTTGATTCGATTTAAGCCCAGCCAGAGGCAAATCTACCTATTTGAAAGGGGAATAGTGTTCTGTAAGATACGAATGGAGCCTGGGGACCAGGGATTGTCTCCTCATTACAGCTTCAAGAAGGCCATGAAGGTAAAGGGAGTCCTATTGCATCTGGGAGTTGCCCTGTGCAGAAAGAGAGAGATTGTTTCCTTATTTTACAGATGAGGAAGCTGCAGTGCAGAGAGGTGAAGTTAACTTGCCAAATACCACCCCACACGGCTAGAATCCGTACCCAGGTCTGTCTGACTCCAGGGTCAGAGCTTACGATCAGTCTCTAGACAGGGCCAGGGCTGGCATAGGAGATGCCTTTGTACTAGAGAAAAAAGACTGTATGGTAGCCGGTCTGGACAAACTAATTAGTAAAAGTACCCTCTTTCCTCCAGGCAAAGAGGTGAAAGAGAGGTGAAAGGCATAGTGGTGAGAACATGGGCTTGATTTCATCTTAGATTTGCCCTTCTCAACGGTGCATCTTTGTGTCTAAGTGCAGGCATTGTCCTGACCTTGGGGTCTAAGGGACCCAGGCCCACACCAAGCATTGTTTTCTCGCCTGTTTAGAAACTGTTTAGCTATCTGTATAGCCAGTTAGCTATCAGGTACACACACACACACACACACACACACACACACACACACACACACATACAGGAGTCACACACCTATACATTTATGCTCTTGTGATTAAAGCTGTTAATTTGTTCATAGTAGCCTTTGTTATTTATGTTTCTTTTTTCTTTTTCTTTTTTTTTTTTTGAGACAGAGTTTTGCTCTTGTTGCCCAGGCAGGAGTGCAATGGCATGATCTTGGCTAACTGCAACCTCTGCCTCCCAGGTTCAAGCAATTCTCTTACCTCAGCCTCCCGAGTAGCTGGGATTACAGGTGCGCACCAACACACCCAGCTAATTTTGTATTTTTAGTAGAGACAGAGTTTCACCGTGTCGGTCAGGCTGGTCTCGAACTCCTGACCTCAGGTGATCCACCTACCTAGGCCTCTCAAAGTGCTGGAATTACAGGACTGATTACAGGGGCATGAGCCACCACACCCGGCCTTGTTGCTTATGTTTCTTAATGGATCCTTGTTCAGTTACTATTATGTAGAAAGTTGTGGCCGGGCGCGGTGGCTCAAGCCTGTAATCCCAGCACTTTGGGAGGCCGAGACGGGCGGATCACGAGGTCAGGAGTTCGAGACCATCCTGGCTAACACGGTGAAACCCTGTCTCTACTAAATAATACAAAAAACTAGCCGGGCGAGGTGGCGGGCGCCTGTAGTCCCAGCTACTCAGGAGGCTGAGGCAGGAGAATGGCGTAAAAACCCGGGAGGCGGAGCTTGCAGTGAGCTGAGATCTGGCCACTGCACTCCACCCTGGGCGACACAGCGGGATTCCGTCTCAAAAAAAAAAAAAAAAAAAAGAAAGTTGTAAAATAGGTGTTGAAGGAGAAATGGTCTCTTCACTGAAAGGCTGAGGGCTGCAGCGCCTCCTGCAGAAAGATACAGTGGAAAGTTAACAGTCTGTGTTACCTTCTGAAGCAGATGAGACAGAAGACACTGTACCAGATTGTGTTTTATGCTGTCTTGGGGTCATTAAGAGAGGAAAGCAAAAACTTGAAAGGAAGATGAAAGAAGAGAGCTGTCAGGGACAGAAAGGATTAGAGTGATTGACAGGGACTATTTTAAAATCAGAAAACGATGGTATAGAACATTTCTCTTCCCTCTTTATAATAGTTGACGACACTTTCAATTCGCCAGCTTGGAAGGGGGAGCCATAGAAAGTTTGAAATTGCCAGTCGAAATGGACTTGAGAAATACATCCTGCAGGTAAAGCTCATGCCTTCCCCATGGGTCTCCTCTACTCTTTCCTCATTGTGTTCCCATAACTCGACGAGTGTTTTCTATCTCATTATGCTAACGGTCACTGGGAGAATAAAAACTCTGCAATTAATACTCAGGGTAGTCTTATACTCATGGTGTTTTCTTATGTGTAATTGCAGGCAGCTTCAAAAGAAATCAGAGACTGTTGGTTTTCAGAAATAAGTAAATTATTGATGGAACAACAAAATAATATTACAGGTAGGTTACCCCTGCTGACTTTCGCCTGTAGAGTTATACTGATTTCAGCTCAGTGGGGGATATGCAAATTGGGGATATTGTTAAAGAAAATGGTTTGCTGGGAAAACAAATGTGGCCACATTTTCACAGTCCCTGGAAGCACCTGTGCTCGCTTTTGACTGTGGTGGAGGTGGAGGGGTTGTGTGATTGTGTGTGGTTGTGCTGGTTTGTCCCTTTTGGTTGTGTTCCCCCCACCACCTAATTGCCAAGGTCAACTTCTTAATCAAAAATCTGAAGGCCACCCAAGAAAATGTTAACAGAGATTCAAATGGCCAATACTACCTTTCAGACACTGTACTACTTTTTTAAAACATCAAGATATAATTAACATACCATAAAATTTACTGTCTTAAAGTACACAATTCAGTGGGTTTTAGACTATTCACAAGGCTCAGTAACCATCCCTAGTCTAATTCTATTTTTTTTACTTTTTACTTTTGTCTTTTGTTTTGTTTTGAGACGGAGTTTTTTCTCTTGTCGCCCAGGCTGGAGTGCAGTGGCGCCATCTAGGCTCACTGCAACCTCTGCCTTCCAGGTTAAAGTGATTCTCCTGCCTCAGCCTCCCGAGTAGCTGGGACTACAGGTGCGCCACCACGTCTGGCTAATTTTTGTATTTCTAGTAGAGACAGGTTTTCACCATGTTGGGCAGGATGGTCTTGATCTCCTGACCTCGTGATCCACCCGCCTCGGCCTCCCAAAGTGCTGGGATTACAGGCGTGAGCCACCACGCCCGTCTGTTTTTTGTTTTAAAGTATTTAACAACCTAATTCTAATTCTACTTCCAAAATATTTTCATAACTCTCTCCCAACAAAAAAATTCAGTACCAATTAGCAATCATTCTCCATCTTTCCTCTTCCCCCAGCCCCTGGCAATCACTAATGTATTTCCTATCTCTATTGGATTTTCCTCTACACATTACATATATAGCCCTTTCTGTCTAGCTTCTTTCACTTGGCATATTTTTTTAAGTTTCATTTATGTTGTAGTATCTATCAGTACTTCATACATTTTTATGGCTGAATAACAGTCCATTGTATGGATATACCATCTTTGTTTATCCATTCATTAGTTGATGAAGATTTGGGTTTTTTCCCCTTTTTGGATACTGTAAGTAAAGCTGCTATGGATATTTGTGTACAGATTTTTGTATGAATCTTTATTTCCAATTTTCTTGAGTGTATGTATGTGGAATTGCCAGACCATATGGTAACTTTTGTTAACTTTCTGAGGAACTTCCAAATCATCTTTCAAAACAATACCACCATTTCACATTCACACCAGCAATATAATAGTTGGGTTCAATTTTCTCCATTTCCTTACTAACACTTTTATTGTTCATTATAATAACCTTATTATTATCATTATTATTGCCATCCTAGTGGGCATGTACTGGTATCTCATTGTGATTTTGATTTACATTTCCCTCATGGCTAGTGATGTTGAGCATCTTTTAACATGCATATTGGTCATTGGTGTATCTTCTTTGTAGAAATGTCTATTAACTCCTTTGTATGTTTTTTAATTAGCTTGTCATTTTATGGTTATTCTGGATACTGGACTTTTATCAGATATATTATTTGCAAGTATTTTTTCCCATACTGTGCATTGTCTTTTTACTCTCTTGATAGTGTTCTTTGCAAAGAGTTTATAGTTCTAACTCTTACAGTTAAGTCTTTGATTCATTCCAAGTTAATTTTTGTTTATGATGTGAATTAGGGACCCAAGTTCATTTTTTTAAATGTGGATATCCATTGTCCCAGAACCATTGATTGAAAAGACTATTCTTTGCCCACTTTGAATGGTCTTGGCATCATTGTTGGAAATAAATTGCCTTTAGGTATAGAATTCTTTGTTGACACTCTTTTTTTTCTAAGCACTTTGTATATGTCATGCCATTGCCCTCTGGATTCTGTGATTTCTGATAGAAATCAGCTGTTAATCTTATTGAAGAGTCCTTCTGTATGCTTGCTGCTTTCAAGATTCTTTCATTGTCTTTGTTGACAGTTTGATTATGATATGTCTAGGTGTGGATCTTGATCTCTTTGAATTTATATTTTTTGGGGTTTATAGACTTTCTTGAAGGTAAAGATTAATGTTTTTCATCAAATTTGGGAAATGTTCAGCCATTGTTTCTTTAAATATTATTTTAGCCCATTTACCCCTCTCTCTTTCTGAGATTGCCATTATGCATTATTAGCATGCTTGAAGGTATCTCGCAGTCCCTGAGGCTCTATTCATTTTTCCTTCATTCCTCTTTCTTTCTCTTCCTCAGACTGGATAGCTTCAATTAACCTATATCTAAGTTCTCTCATACTTTCTTCTGCCTACTCAGATCTGCTATCTAGCCACTCTAGTGAATTTCTCATTCAATTATTATACTTTTGAAATCTAGAATTTCTGTTTGGTCCTTTAAAACAAATATTTATATTCTCTATTTAATGAGGATTTGTTCTTTTACTTTCCTTTAGTCTTCATATTTGATTTCCTTTCACTTCTTGAACATGTAAAAATAGTTCATTTAAAGTATTGGTCTAGTAAGGTCAGTATCTTGGCTTCCTCAGGAAGAGTTATTTTCTTTCTTTCTTTCTTTCTCTCTTTCTTTCTTTCTTTCTTTTGTTCTTTCTCTTTTTTTCTTTCTTTTTTGAGACAGAGCCTTGCTCTGTAGCCCAGACTAGAGCGCAGTGGTGCAATCTTGGCTCACTGCTACCTCTGCCTCCTGGGTTCAAGTGATTCTTCTGCCTCAGCCTCCCAAGTAGCTGGGATTACAGGTGCACGCCACCATGCCCAGCTAATTTTTGGGTTTTGTTTTGTTTTGTTTTGTTTTTGTATAGATGGGGTTTCACCATGTTGGTCAGGCTGGTCTTGAACTCCAGACCTCAGGTGATCCGGCTGCCTCAGCCTCCTGAAGTGCTGGGATTACAGGCATGAACCACAGCACCCAGCCTCAGAACAGTTTCTATTGACTGGTTTTGCTTTTTCCCTGGGTATAGACTGCATTTTCTTATTTCTTTATATGTCTCATAATTTTCTGTTAAAATTAGACATTTTAAATAACATAATGTAGCAACTCTGGAAATTGGACTTTCCCACCTCTCCTGTTTGTTGTTGTTACTGTTTATTGTTGTTTGTTTTAGTGACTTTTCTAAACGAATTCTGTGAAGTCTATATTTATGTGCAGCCCTTGAAGCCTGTGCTCAGTTAGCTTAGTGATTTAAATACTAATGACCCGACAGAGATTTCTTTAAACACCTGAAACCAATAAGTCTTCTAGTCTTTGCCAAGGGGCTCTGTGTGCACATTAGGGCACACCTTCTCACTCAGCCTGGCACTTGACAGTTCTAGCCTAGCCTTCACTTTCTGTGTGTGCAGATCATCAAGATCAGCCAGAGGTAAGATCATGGGGCCTTCTCAGATCTGTCCTGAACATATTCACAGGAAATGTGTGCATGGTCTTCTAGAGTCTCACAAATATTTTGGAGCCTTTACAAGCCTCTATGAGCATCTTATTCCTGAGCTTTCCCTTTTAAATTTCTTGATTAGCCCATGTTTGCCCCACTGTTAGCCAATACCTCAAGCAACCAAGAAGTTAAACAATTGCCTGTAATCATTTTCTACAAAGGCCTTTGGGGAAAAGACTTTTCACATTGGGCAAGTTCTGAGTCAGGCCTAATAAAGACAGTCTTGCAGGTGGGGTATTCCTAGAAACCCCTGGACAGGTCAAATAATGATAATTCTATAAGACTGAGGCTCCATAGGTCCCCCATTCCTGTTCTGCCCCTCCCATGGCTGCCAGACTGCTGATTTTCACCATCATTGCAGGCTGTTCATTTCTAAGGCTACCCCCAAGGAAGGGGAGGATAGAAATAGGGCAAGTTAAAAAGCTCACTGTTCATACTGAGACACAGCCATTTTCCTTGAACAAATGCTCTCCAGATTGCTGCAAGCCATCATTTAATTTCTGGTGTTCTCTAAAGATAAAAACCACGTGATTATCTCAATAGATGCAGAAAAGGCCTTTGACAAAATTCAACAGCACTTCATGCTAAAAACTCTCAATAAACTAGGTATTGATGGAACATATCTCAAAATAATAAGAACTATTTATGACAAACCCACAGCCAATGTCATACTGAACGGGCAAAAACTGGAAGCATTCCCTTTGAAAACTGGCACAAGACAGGGATGCCCTCTCTCACCAGTCCTATTCAACATAGTGTTGGAAGTTCTGGCCAAGGCAATCAGGCAGGAGAAAGAAATAAAGGGTATTCAATTAGGAAAAGAGGAAGTCAATTTGTCCCTGTTTGCAGATGACATGATTGTATATTTAGCAAACCCCATCATCTCAGTCCAAAATCTCCTTAAGCTGATAAGCAACTTCAGCAAAGTCTCAGGATACAAAATCAATGTGCAAAAATCACAAGCATTCCTATACAACAATAACAGATAAACAGAGAGCCAAATAATGAGTGAACTCCCATTCACAATAGCTTCAAAGGGAATAAAATAACTAGGAATCCAACTTACAAGGGATGTGAAGGACCTCTTCAAGGAGAACTACAAACCACTGCTCAGTGAAATAAAAGAGGACACAAACAAATGGAAGAATATTCCATGCTCATGGATAGGAAGAATCAGTATTGTGAAAATGGCCATACTGCCCAAGGTAATTTATAGATTCAGTGCCATCCCCATCAAGCTACCAAAGACTTTCTTCACAGAACTTTAAAGTTCATATAGAACCAAAAAAGAGCCTGCATTGCCAAGACAATCCTAAGCCAAAAGAACAAAGCTGGAGGCATCACACTACCTGACTTCAAACTATACTACAAGGCTACAGTAACCAAAACAGCATGGTACTGGTACCAAAACAGAGATATAGACCAATGGAACAGAACAGAGCCCTCAGAAATAATACCACATATCTACAGCCATCTGATCTTTGACAAACCTGACAACAACA